AACATTTTTATTTGTAGATTTATGTCACAAAACTAACTTTATTGTATCTTTGCCCACTTAAATTTTGTTGTTAAATGTGCTCACTGTCCCAATGACTTCCGGTTCTTATTTTCTTGACACACACCAAGGCCTTATCCTATGAATTTTCTGCACCTCTCTTGATAGCCCAAGTTGCTCTCCATGAAGACATTTTTTAAAGCTTAAAGATGAACATTTTGAGAGAAAATGTAAGAAGTTCTTTGTTCCTGACATTTATATAGATATTTAGAATAAAGAGCAGATTATAGGACTTGCAAAGCTGGATCATGAGAATTCGGTCAGGGGGCTTTTAACAACACATCAAATACAGAAAAGAGGCCTAGAATAATCCAGAGCATACTGGTAATTTTATCTTTGAGTAGGCAAAACTGTCCTATCCCTTTTGTTTCATCCCTTCTCATCGCCTTACTCTAACTGCCCCTCCAGCTCCCCCCCAATGCCCAGCAGCTGACTTGCACCACAACAATCAGTACATGTCAAGAAAGGATTTCTTCCATATTCTTACTTTGGAACAAGATTAACATTTGGAATTCCACATGCAACTCAATACACTGCAAAAAAAATTCTCTAAAAAAAATTTTAACTGCAAATCCCCATGGTTGGTGAAGAGTTAGTTCCGCACAAAGAGTAACTCTTATCCCTTGCTCTGCGTCTGTGCTGACACGGTGCTGTGTGACACGTCCGAACGTTCTCTGACTCTTGTGGGACGCTCGGGCCATCAAAATTTCATTAGCCTCACAGCAGTTCTAGCGCCTTCTTAACTTGAACTGTTGGCCTCCTTATCAATAAATAAATGAAATCTAATCCCTTTTAGTGACTAAATTCTTCTTTGAAGTTATAACTAGAACATCAGGCGCTCTGCTTGCATAATTTTACAAATGTTGGATAACATTTTTTTTTTCCTGGGGAAAACAGCCTCATTCACAGTTATTCTAAATGATGAAAACAGTCAGTGAAACCTCCCATGTTAAGCCAGATGAAAACAAATCAGTGTCTGGGTCTTAAATTAGCTTCCTTTTTTGGTGAGTTACTTCACCCTTGTCCTTCCCATTCCAACCTTTAGTGACATAACAGAATTTACAAGGACACGCCTTAAACTTGTGCAACAATGAACAAAACTAGACAATGAAATCAAGAGTCAGAGGAAAACATAATCAGAAACAGCCTTTAAAATTAGAGCAATTTAAAATATCTGAGAGCAGAACTGAATTATTTTACTAATTTTATATTAAAACTATTTGACTAGAAGTAGCAAGAAAAGTAAAAATATGTAGAAGTGTTGACAGTTAAGTCCGTGAACTCATCCTAGAAAAAAGTGCTACATCCCTGAATATCACTACAGTGCTGACTGGCACTGTGGTCACCAGACGGCCAAGGAGAGGACTTCAAAGGTGACCATAGTGACAGTCACCAATGAGCGATGTAACACTTTTTCTAGAATGAGTTCACCAACTTAACTGTCATACCTTGCATTTTTTTGGAGAATATTATAAAGATGTTAGAATAACCTGTGTCTGATTGAGAATTTCAGTTCTTACTATAACCCAACTTAAGGAGCAAAAAAAAAACCATACATTTTTATATCAGGAAAAAAATTCGCAACGCTCTTGTTTAATTCCACAGTTCAAAATCATAAGGTCTGCTAAACACCTCAAAAAATTATGCACCCCCTTATCTTAACGTGATTACTTTAAATGAACTCTTATTCCTTTTGAGTCATCACTGAGATTTCAGATCAAATAAGTTAATCTACAAACGCTCCTACGGACATATACATTAAATATGTATGAAATACATGAAATATATGAAATAGCTGGTCTTCATTAAAACAATATATCTACTTTATTTCCTTCCTTAAAACTGCTCCCATTGGGAATTCTTAGACCATCAAAGTGTTGTTTAAAAAAACAGCCACAACCAAACCCTGGGAACAGAGTGAACATAAGTTTAAGTCATTACTTTACCCAACTCTACAAACATTGCTTCTGACACTTCAGACTCTCAACTTGGCTGACCTGTTTACTCCCAACAAATGCTGCCAAACGTTCTGAATTTCAAGGCAAGTCTCTTGACACGCTCCCTGTCTCTCTTCATTCCTCTTCCTAACCACCACTTGGAGGAATAAAAGCCTGCGACTTTTATGCCTTCACATCACCCAGGGACAGGGGCTACGGGATTCCACTGGAAGCAAATCCCTCCTCTCGTTAATAATAATTCACGCATATGGCCAGGGCAGTGGTGTGAGAAACTCACGAGTCTTCCTCCTCTCCTCCCAAATATTTGGGTACTATAAACCATTAACTAAAGACCACAAAGTTGGTAGTTTTCTGAAAAAAGAAAAAAAAAAAAAGGCATGTGTTTGGGAATTCACTGTGAGATAGTTTTAGCCAATATATAATTTTAAAAATAATAAAACTAGTTTCTATTTTACCAACATAGATTCCATAACAAGACACACTTCTTACGAGAGAGAGAAAGGGAGGCTACAAATGGGTTTTGGCGGAAAGAATAAATTCACCCAATGTGAAAAATACGTCATAGAATAGAGAAACACATTCACGGGGATGGTCCGTGCGAAACCGACCGCATCATCCTGCTGCTTTCCGTTCTCCTCCGTAACATCACACGTTCTACTGTGTTTTAAGAAAATCAAATGCCAAATGCTACAGCTACATGGAGTCACTGTACCTGCCAGCGCAGAGGAAGAAGCTGGCCAGGACTCCACATTCATACCCATCACGTGTGTCTAAGACTAGTGACTCTGGAAGCCACTATGGAAACTCATATATACACAGGATTACCAAGGGGAATGGATTAGCTGAAAGAAGTATTGGCTGTCCGATCCTAAGACTCATTTTGCCAAAACAACAACAACAACAATGAAAAACAACAACAAAACCCTGTCTTTGTTTCTTCTTTGGGCTGGAATAAAGAGAGCCTCCACCAAGAACTGACACTTCCAAAATTAACATACTGAGTATATGTTATTACTTGGTCTTGACTTTGGTTTAATGCACTAGGTTATTCTACATAGATGAGAAACTGTTTTGGTTTAAATTAGACTTTTTCATGAAGAGAAGGGAAACATTATGAAGGTGAGGAGCCCCTGGATGCTCTGAAACTGATAGCTAACAGTCAACCTGCTTTCCTAATTACAAAGCAAAGCTGATACAGTTGCCCCATAAATAATAAAATGGAAATATCACTGATAAAGCAAGCATTTCTTTTTCACATGTTATGCAATTCTTCCATTTTAATTTTCTCTTTGCTTTCTGATGCATCACATATATGCAGCATTAATAACTGGTGCATTAGCACCAATGCTCCAATTCTTCCTAGACATAGTATTGACTCCAAATTACCTTTTCTTTACAATTTATTATTACGTATAAATTAACTGTTTTTTAAAAAAAATTATCCCACATTGGCAATAGGGAAAAAATCCTGATAATTTATAAAGACATTTATTCTTACAACATACAAATCTGCTACTTGGATATCCTAAAATCCAATTTTTGTGTGTGGATTTAATTGCCTAGTAATCCAGTCCCCAAAGCACATCAAAGGCCACACTCCCCCTTTTTACCAAGATTTCAATTGCTCTCATCAGCTAGTAAGTTTAAAGCATGATCAAATTTGTTCTTCAATCACTTGAGCCCTGTTAATAAACTATTCTGTGTGCTCACTCATCCATTCTAAGACTCTAACTTCTTTGAGATATCTTCAAGAGGAATCTACAAAGACATCTTTGACTGCAAGATGGCTCAGGGGTAAGTGTTATCAACATTGCTTGGCGACTCCGCAGAGGAAAACAGGTGACATGGCCCAAGATAAGCCAAAGCTAATCTTTTTCTTTTTTCTGTACATGATTAAACTGTTTTCCAAAACTTTAGCTAAAACATCATACGCTGCTCGCCTCATTTCACAATCTGAAGTCGAATATTGATTTTTTCCAGGAAAAAAAAAACAACGGAATAATTCAAGGACATTTCTTGGATTCTACTGGATTAAAACAAAAAGCAAAGAAGAAGAAAGAGAGAGAAAGCAGGATGGGAGGAAGGAATAAAGGGGCAAACACAGACTCCTCCAGAATCAACCGAATCAGACAGAAGCACTGAAGGCCAGCATTATAACATGAAAAGGCCACTTACCGTTCTCGCTGTCCGACTTGTTCTCGTGCTCTGTGTCTGTCAGGGTGAGGGCTGAGTTGGACCGACTTGACAGGCAGGAGCTGCGGCCTGATTTGACCCCCCTGCCCCACAGTCTCATGGCATGCTCTGGGGACATCACTGCTTCATTTTCAGTATCAGCATCTGACCCTGCACTGATAGAGTAACCTCTGTGGGGGAGCCCCATTTCCGCACAAAATGCCAGTCCTCTTCGAGTTGCTGGTTCGCAAACTCCTAACTGCCTTAGGGTAAAATTCTGTCCTAATTAGGGGGAGAAAAAGATAACAACTAGTGAGTATATGTTTAGTGTTAGTTTTTATTTTTTCTTAAAAAGAAATTTTCCCTGAAATAAACACTCAAGCATTCAAGCTTTTTAGCTCTCTGTACCAGGTGTTGGCGTCAGCTTTGCAAGGCATGTGGCCAAGTGGGTGTGATTATGGGAGGAGAGGCTGGCCCCACTTAGAGCAACTGTCACCAGTTAAGGCCACAAGCACCTCCAAAGAGATGGGCAAGGAAGGCGGCACCAACCATAAGAACTCACCCCGCAGAAGGCATTCGTGACCAATGCTAGAATTTTGCTGACTAGACTTACAAAGCAATAGAAATTGTCAGAATTCTTTTCGATGCCCTGCCTTTTTCCAAACAATAAGATCTTCCAGACTGGGTGCAGTGGCTCATGTCTATAAACTCTGGGAGGCCCAGGAGGGCGGTTTGCCTGAGCTCAGGAGTTCGGGACCGACCTGAGCAAGAACGAGACCCCTTCTCTACTAAAAGTAGAAAAACTAGCTAGGCATTGTGGCAGGCACCTGTAGTCCCGGCTACTTGGAAGGCAGAGGCAGGAGGATCACTCAAGCCCAAGAGTTTGAGGTTGCTGTGAGCTATGATGATGCCCTAGTATTGTGCCCAGGGTGACAGAGCAAGACACTGTCTCAAAAAATAAAATAAAATGAAATAACATCTTCCAGTCAAGATGTCACTCCTTCAGAAGAGAAAAAGATTTCCCTCAGGAATGTGTTGCTCGTTACATAGAAACACAATCTTCATCTGTTTTATTATTCTCCCCACCTTAACTCAGTAGCTAGTACAAACACGTGTGTGTGTGTGGGGGGGGTGTCTGCACACGCTGAATTTGGTCTGGAAAATCTGCAGCCTATTTTGAATACTTTTGACTTTCTAGACTTTTTGCTTTAATAAACACTTGAAAACATCTGTATTGATCAGAACAAACCAATTTTTTGCAAATAAAGTGCACTCTCAACCCAAAGCAGGAGTATTATGTATTTAAAAATTAATGATAAAATCAAGTTCCCTGGAAAATAAATGGCTGTGAACTCTGCAGGCCTTTACTAATAAATTGAGCATCATAAAACTCATGACACTGCAATAACTTAAAGCAAAAGTGTTTAAATTAGGTGACACTTTAAAATGACTGGTGTTATTAATGATTTTTCCAATCCTGTATTTATTCTTGAAATCTCACATATGTTTTATGATACTATGGATGAGAAGAGTGAGAGGAATGTTTGCTGGTGGATGTGTCGAGATGTCTGTTCTATTGGCACAGAAGAGCCTGAGATTTAGGTACCAACCATGGTCAAAATACAGAATAGTAAAGAATAACAGTATACAAAGACTGATTTAAAAGCTACTGTCTAATAACCAAACCTTTTAAGAATATTAGGCATGTAAGTTACTCATATTTTTTATCTTCCTATATTTGCCTCTTAAATCTATGAACATTTTAAAGCTAATACGCTGACATGAGAAACACACGCTATATGTTTTAAAAGACGGTATTATAAATTATTTGTGATAAAAGTGTAACGTGTTGAATCTTCTAGGAAATAAATCAAACATAATGGACAGTGCTGTAAATATTTGGCTGTACAGATCTTAGCGCCCGCTGGGTCTCAGCACATCTTAACTAGTGGTGGTTAATTGCTTTTACTGCTCCAGTCATATCAGAAGTTGGGATCAGCTTTATTTCAGTCAGACTTCCAAATGGATTCCGACAATGATACTCATAAATAATGAAAATCAGTTGCTACAATTAGCTGCAAATCAAACTGTGCTTATCAGAGAGATGTAAGTATCTGAAACCAAAAAGTAAGTCAAAAAAAAAAAAAGAGAAAAAAGGAAAAGGGGTTTCCCAGTTGAGCAGTGAGAAAGGGGGTGAGCTTGCTGAATAACACACAGTATTGCCAGGGTTTTAGAAGAATTAGTGCAGATTGTACTTATACAAATCAACTAAACAAATCAAATGTCATGGCAGACAGGCTATGAAATTTCCGTAAAAGAGCTTACCCACCCTGATTTACATGTCATGTTTAACATGGGGGAGTGCTGTAAAACATTTAAATATTACCGATATGCTGACTTTTCAGAATAAAAACACAAAATAGTTTTAAAGAGTTTTAAATAAAGGATAATATCCTCAGCATCTTTCATCTATTTTGGAAGGAGTCCATATTTTAGAATAAAAAGAAGAGAAGTTAAAAACAGTAAGAACTCCCTTTCTAATCTGTGAAATGTTACTTGAGACATTTTCCAAGTTACCGACTTCTCACACTATTGCCATCTTGATGCAAAAATCTATGAGGTGAAGGAAAGCAGAAAACTGTGATCTTTATTTGTTATCCAGGTATGTAAACACAGCTCACTTTGCAACTGAGTAGACAACACATCACCCCTACAAATTGCTATGTGCATCCCTCACTCCATAAACAGAAGCTGATGTCTTAAAATGATTCCAAACTCTTCAGGGCTGTTTCTGAAATGCAAGCTAAAAAAGCAAGCACGACAGTTGGAATCCCTGTTAGATCTCCTTACTGAATTAAAAAGTTTGTTTTTGTTTCCCCTAGGAAAGAAAATATAGCCACTCACTAGGTCGGCTCAAATGACTTCACCGCTCGGCTTTTTACATCTTTCTGGGCTGTCATGGCTTGGTTCTAGGAGATAACTCATGTCAATGTGACTAGCACGATGAAGGGCTAAATGAAAAAATGGTTTAAAAATAAATGCCTTGACAAATGTAATTAATAATCACGGAGAAATAAATAATTAGAGGGTAGTGGGTGGAACCACCAAAGTTGACTTTTACTAAAGCAACTGCCTTCATCCCAAAATATCTCTACCCAGACCTGCTTCAGTGCTTCAAATTGCATTAGTTCAGGATTCTTTTTTTTTAGGATCCCATGTTTTAATGCAAACACCCCTAGGGAGATCTAACCTTCAACTAGAATAAATTAGTCTATTAGATTATTTCCCACAATCCAGTAATGTTTAGCAAGATCGGCTGTACTTATGAAAAACATCTGCAGTCTTGACAAGTGTGGGGAAGATGATGAGTAGAAAGGTCGTGGACTGGGAGGGGCGACACTTGGCTGAGCTATGGAGGATGTGGGAGGCCCAGGCGAGGCTTGTCAGGAGGACTTTATGGCAACACAGAGAAATGGAATCAGAACAAGGCACCTGAGATGCATCTGGCACCAGGCAGCGCCCTTGACAGTCATGCTAGAAACATGCGTGTACAAGTTTTTGCGTGTACCTGTATTTTCGTTCCCTTAGGTATATAGACAGGAATTGCTGGGTCTGACAGAAACTCTAGGTCTAACCTTTTGAGGATCCAGCAGACCGTTGTCCATAGTGACTGCACCATTTTAGATCCCCGCTGGCTAGGCGCGAGGGCTTTAATTTCTGCACATCCTCACTAACACTTGTTATTATCTACCAGTTCTCTTTTATAACACACTGCCAGGAAGGCTTGGAGTTTGTAATGAAACTTGCAAATGAACTGGAGTTTCCTTCGAAATTTAGGTAACATTAACAAGAATTATTATCCTCTAAAAAAGCAGTTGATTCTGTGAGTCAGCTATGCAAATTCATTATAATTTTATTCCATCATTTTTTCTTGGCTGTCTTTTATACTGTGTTTAATCCTGGTAAAATATTTTTCTATTAAAACAAGAAATACTCTATAGCTCAGAAAGCCTACCTTTGGGACTAGATCCTGTAAAACATAAAATCGCCTGATTTTAGTCATACAAAATGTTAACAAACAAAATGTTTACTCTAGCTGCAAAGACTTAACTAACCCTAATATTTGTCAAAAAGGGAATGGTGGGAGAAGTTATCTATCCATGCTACGGAATACTGCACGGCTAGAGCAAAGAATGAACTTAAACCCATGTCTTTACATCTGGCGAGAAGCTCATTTATATACGTATGCTTTAAGTTTTAAAAAACACGAGTTGCATAATACTGTCTTTATGATTCCACTCTTGGAAACTAAGAAAGAGAACCAACAGGTTATATATGCTGTTGTGGTTTTGAGTATGAATAAAGGTGAGGAAGGATATACAGCTGCTATAATGGGTCATGAGGAAGGTGCTGGTAATGAAGAAAATTAGTAATTTTCTTTCTTTTTTTTGAGGCAGAGTCTCACTATGCCACCCTGGGTAGAGTGCTATGGCATCACAGCTCACAGCAACCTCATACTCTTGGGCCCACGTGATTCTCCAGCCTCAGCCTCTCAAGTAGCTGGGACTACAGGTGCCCACCACAACACCCAGCTATTTTTGTTGTTGTTGTTGCTTTTTTGTTGCAGTTCAGCCGAGGCTGGGTTTGAACCCGCCACCCTCGGTATATGGGGTGAGCCCCAGGTGCTGCCCTTATCTTCTTTTTAAAATAACAAATATATTTTCTTGATTTGCTGTTTAATAGCTTCTATTCGATAATGAGAAATTTAATTTACTACCTTTTCATTTATTGTGAAAAAACAAAGTTGTCTCATGTGAGATACATGGGCACGCTGCTTCTCCTCCATCGCCTTCATCTAACAGGGGTTGCTTTAAAGCAGAATAACCATTTCCCCCACGGCAGCAAACTCCACAAGCCAAGTATGGGAAATGGGTGAATGGATGAGTCAATATAAATTTAACACACAGAAATAAAATAATCTGTGAGTGTTTTTATTTTCCCTGGTGGTTGTGAACTTGAAAGGAATCCTTTATTCTCAGGCATGGACTGACATTCCTCCATGGGTTGAGCATAACACAAACCAACCAAATAGGCAAACGTCTCTAACTGGTGCTTGTGGAATCAGTGGCTCCACCATCTTATTCAGAGTTCTCCTTTTCACTGTGGTTATAAGATCACTCGGCAATAGAAATATATGTAACTATCTCTGAGTGCGTATTTTATGGGACACTCCAAACTCTTTAACCATCTTATGTTAAATTCGGCACCATCTGAACAGAATA